CAATATGTGGCGGCGTGAGGAATAGTGAGAATCTTGCCGGGAGCGGCGCGGTGCAAGAGGTCGAGCGTTGATTGACATGACGATGGGGCAGATGACCGAGAAGAGGGACAACTTGGCCCTTGCAGACACCCAGGAAGGCGGACGACGCGACCATGAACGGAAAATTTGCAATTTGGATTTGGGGCCTTATTTTGAAAATTTGATGAGTCCATAGAATTTAGCTGCAATTTCAAATATTTCAATATATCGCAATTTAATTCATGGGTCAAATATGATATTTATCAGTAATTTAATATATGCATGAAAATGATCAGTGAAATGCACAATATTGCATGTGGATATGCAGATTAAAAGTACCCGCGCGACATAATGTACGATATTGTTAGACTAATTGCATAATAGTCCCTGTAAGAATACACATTAGCGTAACAGTGTATTAATTTTGCACAATGACGAAAATACTTGCGCGTGAAAAACCAAATGTACACATCATTATCACAATGCCACTGCTAGAGCCTTTGATAATGTCTGGAGTGTTGATATATCACATCCGACCATTACAATCCATTATTTTTTCTTTCACTATCACTCGTTTTCATTTGATCCTACACACACACACATGTAATCACACACACACACACACACACACACACGACTACTTGAACTGTTTATTTTTTGAGCTTAAGGGGATGTATTCATTCGGATGACGTAATTCTACTGATTTTGTCGGTTCCTATTTTGTTTTCCACATTGTTTATATAAAATAATTATATATACTTATATATAGAAAAAAAATTAAGTAATTCTAATTGAAATTTATTAATTCAATAATTTATCTATCGAACTTATAATATAGTATGATTTAGAAATAAATATGACAAAATAGAAGGAGCAAATATTATATGTAGAGATCCAAAAATTGGCGCCTAACATGCTTTATATTTAACTCCCGTAAGCATAGGATTTCTCTCTCTCTCTATGGAGTCTCTGTTCCCATTTAGGATTCTTCCCTTATATTAGGGTTTGGGTTAACTTTTCTGTGTTCATTTCAATTAGTCCTAGTGTCCCTTTCCTTGCTTTTGGGTCTTTGTGTGCATCTCTTTTCTTATTACGCCATTTGTCCTTGCTTGTTTGTTTTTTTTGTTTCTTCTATCTTTCTTATTTTGGTGCTTCACAGATTACCAAGTTTGTTGTGAACAAAAGGAAGAATGAAGGAAGAAGTTATGAACAAATTTTAGAAATTTGTCATATCCGATAAGGAAGAAGTCGGGGTTACTCTCTCAGATGAGGATATTGCGGTTGAAATCCAAGAGTGCAAATTGAGCCTCATAGGTAAACTCTACGGGGAAAAAAAAGTGAACTTCAGCGGATTTAAAACAACAACAGAAAGCATCTGGGTAACGAAAAAACCATTTTCGATTAGAAGATTGGTTGGGTTCCAACAAGTTTCAATACATTTTCCATTGCGAAGAAGATAGCGCAAAGATTCTTCAAGGTAAAACTTGGAATATCGACGACCAATATGTATTGTTAAAATATTGGGATTCGCTCAACACATAATTTTAAGAGGAAGAAGAATACATCAAAATATGGGTCCAAATACTCAATCTTTCCCTCCACTGGATCTCTCAGGAAACTGGAATAAACATTGGGAAATTAATTGGCAAGGTCTTGGATGTTTTTGTCCCAGAAGTTGCAGGGGGCAATGGCTGTGTGGTGAAAGTGCTCGTCGAACAAAGATTAAGTGTGGATCAGAAAACAAATGGGTTGACTGCAGGTATGAGAGACTTCAAAATTTCTGTTTCTACTGTGGTAGAATAGGGCATAGTGAAGGGTCTTGCTCTATTAAAAAGGAAGAAGCTAGTAGAAATACATTAATTCTGGGCAATTTGGTGATTGGCTTAGGGCGGGTGGGTTTAACCTAGGGGTGTCATCCTTCTGAGGAAAGAAACAGTGAGGGTGTTAGCCTGAGTATAGAGGAATGTG